GTGGAAATCCACCCAATCCATCCCCCTGTATCCGCCCCTGATATGGTCATCCCATAGACAGATTCTTATTGATTCCAATACCTAAGTAATTGAAGAACTCGACTGCATCTAATGATTGACCACTAAAAGATATATCAATTCCATTAACGTTACTTAGGAGCTTTTTAGTACTACCTATTAACATAAACTTCGACTTTTTGAAATATTTAAAGTAAGTTGGTTTCTACTTAGCCAATCCCCAACTTTACCTTAAACGTCTTCAAGCTTCTATCTTTTTCTGTTTTTTACTTCTTCATTTTATCTTTGGATACCAAACAAGGTATTGTCAACATTGTCTCATCAGCCTTCAGCAAAATAAGTGGGTTTTTACCCTCTGGTTATCCCCCAAAGACGCAAAGGATTATGGGGATGTGAAAGTCGAGAATATGGATAAGAAGCAGGGGCGGACCCAGGATTTTTTCAAAGGGAGGGTTGTAGCATTGATTGAGGTACTTGTTTGGCGGGAAAGTAGCACAGGGTTCCCAAACGGAAGTAGGTCTTATGATAATGATTATTTGCTGCAGGGGAGCATGGTTTTTTCAGGTCCCACACACGGCGTATAGGGAAAAAAAAGCGAGCGTAAGGTGTTCGGCAACCCTGTTTTAATAAAACTCGCGATGCTGTTGGTGTTGTCATGAAAAAAAATCACGATGGCTCTCATAGGGGGGGTTGTAGCCCCCAAAACCCACCCCTAGATCCGCCACTGAGAAGAAACTGAAAAGCGTGGGACACTCGGGACTTTACAAAGGAGTAAGAGTGAAATATAAAAACTGGGAGAGGAAACTACGCCAGTAAAGACAAATACAAGAATATGGGTCTTCAGTTCGGTAGCAGAATCCGTTACAGTAAAGTCTTTGAGGTATGAAATGAATAAATCCCCTTCTGGCTCTGATGATATCCTTGGATGAGCGTCTGAATTAGATTAGTCGTCAATGGTCAAACGCTAAAAACATCAACCGTTAGCCGTCAAGGCATTTTGAGGAAGTCATCAAAGCCGCTCGCTTCTCGGCCAACTTACCATGCTTGAAGAGGTCTTTTTCTGCCCCGGCGTCCTGCCTTTAGATCCCCGACCAGGCCCAGAAAGTGAAAACAAACTCTGCTCGTAAGCATTGTCTTAGTACTATGGCCTATGGCCTATGGGTTTCCTTTTATTCTTAACACCTCATCGGAAAATCTAAAATACCAAACAAATCAATAAGAAAATGTACGTAGAAATATCGCGGGAAAACCCACAGACTATAGGKAGGCCCTATCAGGAAACAGCAACCGTCAGCCTCCGCAATGGATGACACACGTGACAAACGATGAAATGAATGCCCGTGCGGGAGGCTGTTCCTAACTAAGAGGTAGGGACTGTGAAGACCCAGAATAATTCACTAACTGATAACATAAAGGTTTGACCCAAAAAGTAGACGAGGGAAGTCAAAATACTGTAACCAGAAGTGACACTTACAGTCTGTAACTGAACTGCAAAACAAAAATCGTTCCCTCCGTACACACGCCCGAAGCCACAGATAATAAGCAAACTTGACTTTGCAACTTAAATTCGTCTATTGGAATAGAGAAAACAAAGTTTAACTTGTAACTAAAACTGAATTTCAAGCTTTGAAACATTTCACAGCTACATAAAGCTCTCTCTCTACATCAGGCCGAAGCTACAGTGGGAAACCGAATGCGTGCTCCACCTACACCGACTTAAAATCTTTCCAAAAAACACGAATACAAATACTGAAAAATTTGCAAACTCTTCTCACAGTTGTGCTCCTCACCGATTACTTGCAAGGAGTGAAGTCCTATTGAAGTCTCATATTTGACTTGGTAGCAACTCGATCGTATTTTATTCGTAACAACTCGTCTAACATGCAGCAACTCGTTACTTATTTGCAACAGCTCAAGTTGTTTCAGCAACTTACGTCTAAAATGCAGTAACTCGTGTACTGCCCGGACGGGGGGGACTCCGCCAGGATTTGGGTAGGGGTGTTCCGCTGGGATGCTGAAAGGGGTACCCTGTTTATGACAAAAAAACTCAAATTTGTAGACCCTGTTTATGATAAAAGATATAATTAATTGCACTGAGTCCCTGTTTCGATTATCATGTCATCTCGCGCATCGTTTTTTTTACGACCATATAACCAGTTTCGGTCAATACGAAAGTAGAAACCCTGAATATGACAGGAAACTCAGGAAGAACTTAGAACTTGAGTGAAATTGCATACCCTGTTTATGACAAGAAGCTTGAAAAACCATACCCTGTTCAGCGGATCATCCCCGTATAGTCCATATATGGGAGTATCCCCCCCGGGGTGTACTGATGCAGCAACTCGTTTCTTATTTGTAGCAACTCTTCTAACTGACTCGTATTCGGCTTACCAAATCAATTTACAGTCCTTTGACTAAACGTTGTCGTTTGATCGGCTTCATCCCTACGCGCCTAGATCGTAAAGGATCATGGGGATAATTAATTCACAGTTACTAGCTGCCGCATATGTTATCTAACACGTCTTGAGCTCGCTGTTTTCGATCCCATTTAATTTGCTTAAAACCATGCCTCGAGCATACGGCGAAGATTTAAACTGGCGAGCAGCTTGGATGATGCAAGTTCTGGGTAATTTACCCGTTATCCTTTTCGGTCTAGGCGTGTAGGGATGATCCGATCAACGACAACGTTTAGTCAAAGGACTGTATACTTCGGATCGATCGATGAAGGTCTTTTGACCTCAAACGATGCCTTGGATTCCGAATTCCAAAATCAATTTTATTCGGATATCCGGAGGCCTTACATGGGGCGAAACTGACACACACACAACTCGTCATCGCTAATCACCAACGCAATGTACAACGATTGCGCAGCTCAAGGCGCCTCTGGCAGCCACTATACAGTCCTTGTATGACCTTGGAGCACAGCTCTAACCAGTTTGAATTAGTTAGGGTTAGTTTGAGAGGAGGGAGGAAAAACCGGAGGGCTGGAAAAACCTTCGGAGACAGAAAGAAAACCAACCAACTCAGCTCACATTGGGTCACTGGGRAAAATGAATGAAAAAATTGAGCGCGCCTTTGTTTTTCTATATAGTGTCCCTTTCTATATGCAGTAAGTAAGACTACCGAGAACATCGGCAATAAGCCATATACATCTCGAGGGCCGTATAACAAAAATATAGCCTTGTGAATAACAAAGAAAACCGTTTTAATTGATAAATAATATTCTTATATTACCTATCAAATTACAATCATCGTGCTATGGCAGGTGCGCATCCAAGGCGTGTGTTGGGGAAGGGGGTCGGATTAAAAGGAAGGAAGGAAGGAAGAAGGGAGGGAAGGAAGGAAGGAAGGAAGGAAGGAAGGAAGGAAAGAAGGAAGGAAAGAAGGAAGGGACATTTCATTTGCCCRACTCCTAGACTAGTTCTTTCCCCTAACCACTGACCCGATTTTGTAATGGTAATCAGTATTCTTCATGCATGCATGTACGGTTGCTAAGCAACCTTACATACATCATCACAGATGTTGATGGGCTTGTTGCAGTCAGTCATGAAGGAAGTAACGTTGATCTGTACACAAGAAAGTAGTAATCAAGCTTTCAATCGTTTTGTTTAGTTAAACCGTGGAAAAGCAAACTAATCATAAATTACTGTTACTTTGATGGCTAATAAATCCTTTATTATAAATAGATACAATGTTTGTCTTAATGTGTCAACAACATTTATACTTGATACACATGCTCTAAACACAAAGGCCTAGAACATCCTTTCTCTACTTTATTCCCTTGACTCAATGGTTGTGCATGTCATTGTGTTCATAGAGACATGACATATAGGCGCCGATCCTCCGCACTCATATCAAGATATTACGCAAGATGACATGATGGTTGTCCGGTCTTAGCTTTTCCTTTACAATGATAACGTGATAACAAGGTGATAGCAACGCCAGGTGCACTAGTAGTAGTCAAAATCTAGATAAAAGTGCTAATCTGGAATATGTATCATTTTATTTAAAAAATTGGGTAAGAGAATAAGAAAGCGTGTGTGCATGCGTATTTTTTTTTCCCGGGTTTTTTTCCCAGTTTATTTTCGTAATAATTTTAATTTTCGCGTRCGCCTTTGTTTTCCTATTAATTCATCTATACTCATAGTCATCCAATGAATGAATGAATATTTGAATATTAAACACTAGAGAAGGTCCTGAAGGGATAAGATTGGGAACTGGGATTGTCTTTTTTTTTCCTGGGTAAATAAGAAAGTAGGTGACAGAGAATGAAAAAAAATGGGAATTGGCCGGAAAATGTTTTTAAAGTAAAGAAATTGGGATATGGACACTGCATGAGAGGTGGGATTGTAATCGGCYTTTTTACTGATATGGTGGCCATCTTCAATTGTGGGGTGCTGAGGGGGCAAACACGTAGGAAAATTGATAAAGCATAGAGTGACTTGTTTATGCTTTGCATATAGTTCCAACTACCAGACATTGCTTTTTAGAAGTGCATCTCATTGAAAAGCGTAAAATTATATAATCAGACATGTAATAGAATTAAGATGGTCGCCGTATCGGTACCAAGGTCTATTGGTTCTAATGGAATATTGGTACCATTGCAACGGCACAAACATTGAAGAAACCATTAATTGGTAAAAATKATACATGACATAGGAATCGGAATTTAGGAGCGGGGTAACCTGTTTAAGTGCAGTAAAAATTACATACCGTCTTCCTTACTGCTACAAATAGATTGCAGATTAACTAAAAGTTTTACCTCTGCGAGGGCGTGGCTTTTCTTTATATTCTCTCTTTCACTGCTGTCGCTTTATCAAAGTATCCAATCTAGACTGATATAATGATCAAAGCAGGCAAGCTGTTCAGCAGCCTAACATGTCAAACCTTTGTCATGCGATAAGATGATCAGTTGATTATAGCTCGATAAACACTAGAATATCATTATATTTTATGTATTTAAGCTGTCTTGCATCCAATACAAAACAGTTTTAGTACTACTCTGATCATTCGACTCGACACAGTTTGGCCCGTTCTCTCGATCATCGTCATGAATCGCCTGGCTTGTCTTCTGTTTCTCGTCTTTACCATCAACAGTGTTCTACATGTTACAACTGGCTATAAAACGGTTTGTTGTAACACAGCTCAATGCAGATGGACTGTGTGTTTTAAGCCTGGCAGAGATACTCCGGTAAGAAATTCGACTTTTCTTTATTAAATCGCTCCGAAGTAATTTGYGTTACTGTGGGAKAACCATGCATACTCTTGTAAATATAGTTGGACATTTTTCTTTTACCAAAAAGCGCGTTTAAAGAAAGAATGTTGAAAGTCTCTGCTTGAATTGTCCGTTTCAGATTATGGGGAAAAATCTCAATGAAAAGCTTCTTTTCTGCCGATTTCTTTGTCATCTATAAAGTATATCTAAGGTGGGCGCCGCGCGTGGTATCAGCCCTTCTATGTTTTTGTTGACACCATTTCCTTTTTGCAGGACAACAATGACGATAACAGATCTAATCAACTAAAGTGGCATGAAAACATGTCGTGCGAAGAGGCAAAAGCAGCATTTTGTAATAAATGACGTCACAGTTGCCATGACAACCTTCCAGAAGTAACTATGGTTACGAATACGAAAAAAATGGTGAAATTCAGAAAATTTAACGCAATATTAACTTCATAGATAAACTGACTACTAAGTCAATAATCATCTAAAAATAAAAATTGCTTTACCCAATAACGACACATTTTTTTATAAATTAAATATCCTTACTAAGCTACGAGAGCAATAGGATGTGGATTCAGTAGCAAACATCACTGAAACAACCATGAAATGAGGTTGCGCACAACTAAGTAGCTCTCATCATGGTATAACCTTGGGGAGCATATACCATATCGCGTGCACGTAGTCCCGTCTACATCAGATTAGATAAAGAAACTTTGAAGAGGCAGTCAAGTGTTTGCAGTACTTTGCTGTATCATCCTTTGTCCTCATATTTCACTAGATATTAATCGTTAAATTAAAACTAATTATCGCATTTTTGGGCAATAACATTTCTGTTGCAAAATCAATTTATAAGATAATAAGAACTCTGAATTTAGTATTATCTTTATTTTCACTTAAAAGTGCTAGTCAAGCCATTAAGAAAGGCTATCCTAAGAACAAGACTCAAAAAATAGATGTTATTTTGAATAAACAGTCTTCTCGAAAATGTATTATAGCAACAGCTTTCCTAGAAAAATTAACGAAAACGAATCTTGGAAAAGAAGGCAAAAAAGGATGTGTTTTTAAACTTCGCATGATGTTTTGGACTTCGCGTGACTTTTGAAAYTTCGCGTGATTTGTCGCTATACTCAAAGTAAATCATATTTACACGCTTTTGTAAATAGGCCTATGGAATGTATTGCGAAAGCTTGTTACTTTCTAATAGCAGGTTACATCTGTACAAACAGGTTGTACTAACTGCCGGTATGAAAAGATGTTGCTTCCAGTAATATCTATAGAAACCACATGCATAAATTTGCAAAAAAAATRATGCACAAATTTGCGCAAATTAGTAAGTTCAGTGGAGTGCATACCATATTCCCGTGGAAAACTTTGTAAGAACGTGCACAAATTAGTAATTTCGGTATGCCTCAGTAGTCTAGACTGTAGACCTACAAAACCTTGCACTAATTCGTACAATTGTTTTAGTTAACTTTTTCACGTAGATATGGCAAACACTGAAGTAAAGAATGACTAGAGTACAAACACTAAAAGCGTGCAACCCAAATAATACTTAAATAATACTAAAATGTGCTAAATTATACTAAATGTATTGCTCTTATTGTTTAAATAATGCTATTTAGTACTAAATCAGTAGTGCTATCTTATTTTACAACGTACGACTGACTAAGCTAGAAGTCAGTTGAAAACTTATTTTAAAGTAAAAGTCAATAGATATCATTCATACAAGTAAAGTTTTTCGTGGGACATCTTTTGAATGAACAAACAAAACAAAAAAAATGTTTGTACTGAGATGCAAGTCATGAGTTGTTTACATTGTTGTCACAACAATTCAAGAGCAAGCTTAAAGAATTTATATGTTTAAATAAAAAATAAATATTTAAAAAAACAAAAAAAACAAAAAACAATTCAAGCAGTAAATACGACAGATCTGATAACTTTCCATTCTAACATTACGGCTCAAATTGAAAAATGAACTTTTATAAAAATAGCTGAAATAGGATATTTATAGAAGTACGTGGGAGGAGAGAAGGATGCCTTGTTTGCGTGCAAGACCCTCCTTTATATTGAAAAGAGGTTAAAGGGGGGAAGATGAAAGAAACTGCAAATAGACTTGAACGTATTGATATTTGGCCTTGGGCTTTTTATTTTTTCTTCACAACAGTTGAATGACAAGTAGTTTTACAGACCAAACCTTGTGTTATTGATCTGAAGAACTTTCTATGAACCAGATTTCAATGTCACAACAGTAACTATCTCGATGTTTGGGTCTTTGCCTTGTTGCATATTGAAGTCGTTGCTACGTGAACTGRTTTTGCTGTGATTATTCTTCTGACAATTTACGCTAATTTCAGGTTCACCCAGACCTTTTTCAGTTTATATTCAATATTGAGCCTGGTCAAGGTTAGAAGAGCCGCAGGAAAAGCCTATTTATAGTAAATCATTCACTTCTTATGCCTTGCAACAGGAAACTCATTGCTGTATAGTGTTGTAATAAAAATCCTGGTCGGTACATTTTCATTAAGTGGGTCATACGAAAATTGTTAAATATACCAGCAATGCATATTAACGATATCAAGTCCTTTTTCGACTTTTTTCCCCATATCATGATGGAATTCTTCACGTTTAACCGGGTTAAATTGGGTATTTCAATTATCTAGCTGATCTGTCTATTATTTTTAACGGCTCTTTCAACGTGGTTAACCGCTGACAGTTATCCTTATTATCAGTACTTTACTGAGTGGTTAACGTTGAACGTTTAACTTGCTGTGAAAAAGAAGCATGCGTGCCTGCCTATACCAGGCATAGGCCTTGATATTTGCTAAAGGAACATTTCTAACTCCATTAATAATTAATCTAGCTTTGCTTATTTTGCTTCCTAGGTTTTGGTTAGAGACTTAGATCAACGGTGTCGTCACGTTTTTCAATGACATAGGTAGCATATTCTCTTCTCTAGTAAAATAATGATGTAGAAATGTTACGAATAGAAATCCAGAATACAAATGCTGAGAAAACTAATCGTGTATACTTTTAAATTAAAACACTGAGGAATATTTTCCAAAAGGATAGGCCATAGCATGTGTTTTTCTCGGTACAATTCTCGTGAATCTCAAGTATCTTTGAAGTAGTTTGAAGTGAATAATAGGATTACATCACGATAAGTCCTGGCTTTTAAACAGTTCTGAATATGGCGAGGGGGGAAAGAGCTTAACCTCAGCCTCGAGAGTTCCGTCAACAAAACTTGCCAATAATTTTCATGAACACCGCAGCACGATTGCAACGTTTCGGGGAATTGGACGTATTCCCGTTTGCGCTATTTCGGTCGTATAATTTGTAGGGGGGAAACTAGTAACAGACAATAAAGACGTCATAGTTAGTGTTTATGGCAAGCAATACAAGCTGACCCGCTGACCTTTAAATAGCAAGTTCCAAGAAGGCTTTTTAAATCGATCACGAAAACCTAAAAGATTCACGCTATGAATCCCATTCAATCCAAAACCGCTAAAACAACAAATTACTAGTAATGCGACAAATAGAAACTGTTATAGTTGCTTTGGTGCTTTTGTGATTCGTATTACGTCCTTGGTTCTGAACTGGAAAGTGGTTTTCGGTCATTTTTAGTTCCTAAGCTACGACAGGTCAATGATCTCATCATCTACCAACAACCACATCAACAACTGAGCACCCGTTTTATCTTCAAAATGAAATACTTATGAACTCATACCACACATGTTTGTTCGTTCGTTATTGTCATGAAGATGTCATGTTTTTGAGAACTTGCTAGGTCGGTGACAACGCTAATTCCCCGACTAAATTCCATTATAAGAAAAAAACTTATTTCATTTTATTAAGTTCTTCTCGGTTTCAAGAGGTGCAAGAAAAGTTCATGTTGCTAAATGAGCAACGCAATATTTGCATTTGATATGTTGGCAATGATTTAACAGAAACATTTTCTTAATTTCAAAGTGTACGTGCGCTTTCTGCGCTTCTCGTTGGAACTAATGAAAGAAAGAAAAAACAGGGTATGACGACAATTAACTATGACCAAATACATCATCCATGGGACGGTTCTATAAAGTTGTAGTTTGATGCATGGGCCTTTGATGATTATAAGCTATTAAAAGGCTGAATACCAAAACAAACTTTTCTGTTTTCTAATTTCAATTGTTCCTGTGTTCGCATATTTCCCCTTTGAGGGATGTTTTTTTTAAGAATATGTTAGTGACGCATGTCAAGAGAGTCTTCCTTACATTGTCGTCTTCAGATCACGCGATGTATAGCCATGCATGCATCAATTGCTACTAATGTCTATCGTTTACGAAATAGTTGGGGGAAAAAACAATTAAAGATAACGTTGGCTCTAGGATAACGAGGGGGCGCGATTAAATTGACATTTTTCGGACTGCCTTACTTTCACGCTCCCCTCACGCGACCTCTATGCACGTTCAGGTCCGATCAGATGATATTAAACAAGAAAGCCTTGAAACAATTTTCTTCATTTTTGATAGAAAAAATACAGCGCTCTCATGCGGGTAACAAAACTGAGTTGTCAGCCAGTTAGACAGTTTAAAAAAGTGAAAAGCAATTATAACCTAAAATACCCGTCATCCAGCATTTTTGTAAAGGTTTTATAAAGGTTTAACAAAATTATCCAATGGGTCAGATTTGGAGAATTATTTTCTGGTATACGTTGTATTTATGTATCGTTATTTTAACGTTTCGACGTGCCGGGATGCTTTCTCCCGTTATATTTCCGACAACCAATGGAATTAAGGGCATAATCGGGTGATAGGTTTCAGCCTTCTATCCATTGTTCTGTCGCTCATTCTCAATCAACGAATTTTCTTGCAGTGTAATGCTAACGGAATTGGTGGGGCTTCCTTACAGAAATCATTTCCTTGCAAAAGATAGCGATCAGGAAAGGGAGAAACCTTGCAACAACAGGAAGTTGATAAGTAAGTAAAGACTTCAACCAGTTTTGACGAATTTCATGTCCGATGTAATTCCAAAGCCATCACTGCATTTCCCGTCTTTTGTCCCAGTTGCATCTAGATTCTAAAACGTTATAAAAAGCCAAGTATATTTTTGTTTCTAGAGAAGTCTTGATTATTTTGTGATAAACTCAAATCACGTATCATTTGGAATGCCCAATCAGTTTAAGATTGATCTAAGAACAATACTAATGTTTTTATAAAAAGCAAGAAGAACTTATATTCGATTTGCTGAAATAACAAGAAACGTAATCACTGCCATCCGGCAGACCATTAAAAGCATTGTGTTCAAGGCTATGAGCGCGTGCTCCAGACTTGTTGACGCTAGCTTTTTTTTTCTTCTTTACAATTCATGTTCCTGTTTTCTTAAGATGGTTTTGTGTGGTTTTGTGTCGTTTACCCAAGGTTTTTACATTATTTTAAGGATTCCCAGTTCCTGAATTTGGAAATAACTCCATTGACAGATGAATTAAGTGTTATGAATGAATGAAAGGTTAGAGTGCTATAATTTTGACTGATTTATCTAGTAAACACCGAAAGAAATGCATCGAAGCGCGACTCAGCGTACGCATACCTCAACCTTCGCGCAAAGAATTCTTTTAACATTCAGCTGCTACAGATCTTCATTTGTTTTGCGTCAAAAGCCAGCGATAGCAAGTCGACAACGTGTCGAAATCATTTTATCATAATCTTGATTAGCGAGATAAAACATGGCCATAAAATCACTGATTGACAATGTATTGATTACATCAATCGTTTATCTTCGAGTTTTGATTACTTCTCTGTTACGAGTCAATAGACAGTGGACTCGTGATGTTTATCTTGCAGTACGTCACGCGATAACCAACAAATCACGACAACTTACTAACTCCTTTCCAACGCGCTATTAACCTAAAAATCAGCTGAATGAGCCGTCATCTGGTAAATTTACGATGAATGAAAAAGATATTCCAAGAATAAAGCTTGGTTCTCGAGTTATTGAAGTTGCGCTTTCTCCTAGCCTCGAGGGCCATGAGCACTTCAACGAGTCCAGGATCTTTGGCACAGTTGGAAGCATATATTCACGTGGCCTAGAGGGCTGAGTACGGATGAACRAACTGCCATACAGTCTTGTTAGCAATGAACTGACTTCACTCGTTTATACTAAAGGCTAATAAAATTATTTAATTAATATAAACTTATTACAATTCTTTATAATTACATCTTGATACTATATACAAGATTTTCCTATTTACATTATAATGGTATTTATTTGATATAGTGACAGTCTATCTATTTGGTGGGACACTTTGCTATTTAAAAAAAATGTAGTACAGTTAGTTCGCAATGACATTTTCCAAACAGGCATATGTTTTTAATGTGAAATTATTACAGCATTGCTATTGGGAAATAAAATCAAAAAAGGGAATAAAACAAAAAGAGAAGGGGCCTTCTTTACGCCCTCTGGCGGGTGTTTTTTTTTCCTGTAAACTGAAAGCCACTGGCGAATATCTGCTGTTTCGTAGAATGTGGGTCCAATTCCTCCAGTGTACTTGACTTGTCCKTTTTGTATGACAACCAATCTTATGGGTAATGCTCCAAAAGCATTGTTTGCGACGTTTTCCATTGTGTCTACCACAAGCGGAGATTCACTATGTACTTTACCAAGGTCCAAGAGAGTTCTTGCTGCGTGGCAACGTTCCTGCTGCGTTCTGTGCTGTAAAATCTCGATGTTTCCCTGCGGATATTTGATTCAATTAAAATATATATTAACCTCTAGACCCATTACCAAATACGTTTACTTACCAAAGGGAAAGAATATCAAGTAGTCTACAAGCTACTATGTGCTGCTATGGGTCATCTTTTTATACTAATTTCTAGAACCGACTAGCTACACCTCCCTCTTGCCCAAGATACCTATTACGATTAGGGCATTTATCTTTCTTAGTTTCTGAATTTATAATTCTACTATTGCTTACCTCGAGTTTCCATTCATCTATCGGGTGTGCTTCTTCTATGTAAACTGTTAAGAAGTCTGCAATGGGGCTGAACTCCTCGACGATCTCTCCAAATTGCTGCAGTCTTTCCATGAAAACTGGACACGTGCAACTGCCGAAGTTAACGACTAGTGGACGGCTGCCGCGTGCAAAATCAAGCAGCTGAAAATACTTGCTTCCGTCAAGTGACACAAGATGAGGGTTGGGGGCTGGACGTCCCTTTTGAGCTTCTTTCATTAGATCGCGTTGGAGACATTTTTGTTGAGCCTTGAACATTTCCCATCCAAATAAGTTTTCCCAGTAATCCTCTTTTGGCATATCAATAGTTGAAACCATCTTTATGAGGCCAGTGATCGCTCCTTCCATCCAACAGATTTTCTGCAGTAACTTCAAAATTCCAAATACCAGCAACAAAATAACTGAAATTGCATAGTAGAGAATGAGAACTTTTGAAGACGCACCCATTGCTGCAGAACTGCAAGCTTGGCTTGTGTTTGTTTGTCCGCACTCCTCTCTTCCCACGTTCAGATAGGTATCTGAATTTCTAAAGACGAGCACGCGAACATATACAAGTTGTCGCTCACTCCAAGCACGATAAGAATGGGCTCTATGACCTCATTTTGATCCCGATGTCCGGCAAACCGTAAAATCGCATGTTATATAATAATATTAAACCTAGACTTTTAGGCTTTCCGGTTCTTAATAAAGGCACTGACGAAAATATCTTCTCTGGGAATTATCACAGCCATTAACCTGCGCATATTTTGTTATTTCCTTAAGCCTTCCTTGCTCAAAGTTTATTCGTGTTGCGTCGTTCCTAGGTCCAAATCAGGAATTCAAACATGACCATTGCTACCGGGGGTTTTCTTCCAACCGGGTTTTTGTCTCTGCAGCTGTTTGCGCGCTGTTTCAATGCACGCTTTCGTATACCAATGATTTGTCTTGCCTCCTTAGTCTTGACTTAGCTTTCTGACAGTGGAGCATGTCAATGTGGCTACAATCCATCTACACCGGTAAATGCGTGCCTTCGCGCAAATTAATTACCATTAAGCTTATATGATTCTTTAACCTCTATCACAACAGTTATTGACATGCTCAAGATTTGCGCAAGTAAACACTGCGCCACACAAATCAATCTAACTAGTCTTTACACTCAACATTATCCCTGTATCCTTACCAACAAAAATTAAGACAAAGTTTAACGATAATTTTTGATGTTTGGCAGTGAGATACTTAGAAAATTCAGTAAACATTGAGGTTAAATGATAATTTTCTATTTTTGAACTCGGAGAATATCAGCCCAGACGAGACCGTGATGGTCTGCTAGCATCGACGCCGGTATCTTGCATAATGAAAATGTAGTTTCTAGTTTGTATTTCAGTCAATCTTAGTTGGATTAGACTAAAAGAGAGTCAAAAGAACCTACAATTTGTATTAACTGATGTAGCTTAAATCGGAAATGGCCTAAATTCATATATTTAAGTAGAATTTATCATTTTGGAATTAAGRAGACTGCACTTTGGGCTTGGTAGGTGACTTACTGATATGCAACAACCAAGTACCCCCTATTTTTTAGGGTGAGGAAAAAAATTTGATGGAAAGAACGATTTGTATCACAATTTTAACAAGAGTTTAAAGAGCAATCTAAGTATAAAGTGGAAAACAAAATRACATATAAATAAAGGCGCATGCGCACTGACCGTTCCACATGAGCGGTTTGTAGTGCGTGATACTGTACAATAATAAATCACTTTACTAAATCGTTTGCGAAAACACAACGATTTAATGTCTGTAAGAGTCATGCAAACATTTACAAAGTGAACATTCGATCAATCTAGTGTGATTCTTGCCATAGCAACGCATCGTCAAACTTAGGCCATCATCTGCTTTGAAAAACATTGACTTGAAAAACTATCGCTGAACATGACCAAGTTATTCGTTTAAGAAMAATGTACACGTACGTCTCTAAGAACTCTGCATTGGAATTCAACTACTTTGTCAATCCTGAAAAAACTGAAAGCGGCCACTTTACACGGAGAACAATCGTGAACTTTGACAGAAAAAGCTGTGTTTTAAAAAGCAGCCTAGAAAGTTTCAAATTACGCGAATTAACGCCCTGCTGTTTTTCCAATTATTTTTGAAATTCTGTGGCTTCTTAGGCCTTGAAAAGTTGACCAAAAATCGATTTTCTTCAAGCAATGTTTATGACGTTCCGTGAGTTAGTTAAGACATTAATTTGCCCGTAGGATTGTTGACTACAAATGGCAAGATAGCAACGTTTTCAGTCGCCTGGGGGTCTAAGCGCCTTGTCATTAAAATATTGAAGTGGAATGACAAGCAAGTGTTTTTCTTTTGGCTTAGCGTGTCTTTTCTAGTTCACGAAACCAGTTTTTCTTGGCTCGCGCATTTTTCGGAGGTGTTTATCGCAAGCGTTTTTGGTGTTCTATAGAATGGAAGACATCTTGCTGTTGTCTCGTTTATCTTATCAAAACGAACTGCTAAAGGACACGTCAGTAGGTTGTCTCATTTAGAGATTTCACTAACTTTTCGTAAAAATCTGTTTAATGGTTTATCGCGTGTTCTAGCTCGTTTTAAACCAAGGTCAATGCCCTCCACACGAGATGAGATGTGGACAGCAATTGCTCCACTTTTCGGGAATTTTATTCTCTGCGCGCAATATACTTAGTTAGACCAGACAATTAAGATTACCTCATAGGCTCCTCACATGAGTCGAAAAAGTTAAGTATTCACTTTAAACTTGTAAAATAAAGTCAGAAACGTGAGCAAAGTTTTGCATTGCTAGACAGCTAAAGATATAATACGATCATTTTTGTTTGCTTTTCGTCCCGTTAGTCTTATCTTATTCTAGGATATATTTTTCTTACATTAATGCCCAAGGTCAGACAACACAAAGTATTTTAGCGGGTGTCAGTTTTCCTTTCAGACAGCCTCTTTTTGTGTCACAAACAGAACGTTCATTTGTAAAACCACTTTACTTCCACTTGGTAGCGCCTTTGCCTTTTCTACTCCAAAATATTTTAACTTCATGATCTAAGGCCAGGAACTCGCCTATTGATTATATCAGCCAATCACAGTCTCTCCCATTTTTCATCATTTTCGTATATTGTAAACTAACTTGATCTTTAGCCAGTATGGCCTTGCGCAACCGCAAAGACCCGCAAACATTATCACTCAAAGTATTTACCAACCACAAGCCGTTTACTTTGGCAAAAACTTCACTCTTCAAATAAATATTTATTTTGTGGAAGAAATCACGCGATACCGCGAAAATATATGAGTAGCCTGTTTCATTTTAGAGTAAGTATTTAACTTTTCAGACGTTTTCTCAAATACTCTGGACTACAGTTTAAAAAGCCCCTATGCTCAGAACGCACTTTACACACTACCTCAGTATACAAGCATGCGCATGAATGTCTGTGTTGGATAGAAGGAAGTGAACAGGGTTCAAAGTACGTGTCATGCGTGGATTGAGCTAGCGGTTAAGATTGCGTGCGTTTGCAACCAAACTCCTCAAAGTCCTTCTCCTTCGGATCTATAGTAGGTTATTGAACTGCTTACAAGTTCTTCAAGTCAAATCAAGTTGCTAGGTGGTTTACTTCAGTTATTATCAAATTAAGGCTGAAATAAAGTATGGCAGAGGAGGGGGGGGGGGGCAGGTGATAATTAGAAATGTCCAGAATAATTCTCAACACCCCCCTTAAAGTCATGCAAAAAAATACGATCCCCCTAAGCAAGGCTTGTAACTTCTTCCAAAAATTGTGCATCCCCCCCATTTTTCTGATAACAATTTGCCCATTCCCCCTTTTTCCTACCAAAATTTTCCCGACCCCCCCCCTCAATTTCACCTGCCCTCCCTCCTCTGCCATACATTATGAACGCAGCCTAAATATTACGAAATTTTATAAACTCATATAATCTTTGCTAAAAGCGTTTTGTTTTGGGGTTTTGGGGTTTGTTTGTACCTTTGTAACACCATCTCMTAAGCTATGAATTAACCGACCCAAATTAACTGATCACAATTTGTTTCAAAGCCTATCAATACTCTCCAGCGGTCCTTTGAACACCGTCATACATATAGTATATATTATTCGTGGTCTGAATTGTGCGTAATGAGAGACTGGCATTATTCCGAATGTTATTCTAGATCCTAAATGTTTACCCAAGCGACCTCTACCACGTCACCATGACGCTTATTTGTTTAGCGAAAATGTTTGTAAGTCTTTAAGAATCTTTTCATTGACGATGTGTCTCGTATTTGACATTTTTGCAGCCTTGAAACTGCGTTCAAGGTTGTGTTTGTGAAGTGCGCACATATATCATCATCTTATCAGGAATACACTTTTATTAAAAGTATCGCCAAACAGTTTTGGACATTGCACAGATACATTCTGAAGTGATACATGGAAGGTGACACAGCTGAAGATGGCAATTAATCAGATATGAAAACCTTTCTTCTAGCAGTTCACAACTTATTACAGATCATTATGATAATCAGACAGGTTGCGTACCAAATACAGAATAACACAATATCTAATATTTAATATTTATTTGTTTATGTCAGCGCACATTGATCGCCTATGTTATTTCAGAACAAATAAGTATGATATTCAACTCAGTAAGATAACCTCGACATAGTTATATTCAATCCTTACCGGCCTCGTATTCGGGTTGATTACGGTATGGTATAAATACAGTCGGCMTAGAGGTCGAAATAACAAGCTTTTTTTTATTTTCCTTCGTCGCTTCCGATCAATTTTGTGGTTCAAGTTAGAAAACAACTTCATATCGCCACTCCTCGTAATATGAATTGTTCTTCGGCGCACTTAGGTTTGTCATCCAATAATTGCACGCAATCAATTACTGAAGTAAAGGATGTCTGAACAAGAAGGAATAATATTCCTCTCTGGAACGTTTGTAGTTTTTTCAGCTTAGACTTCACTAAGTGTTCTAGCCCTTGGAGAAGTATATCCGACAGAAAAGCACTTTTGTCCCTCTCCCTCTCCCTCTCCCTCTCCCTCTCCCTCCTCCACAAATAGCTTAATTAAAATGACGAGTACTTCACATCGCACCCTTATATGGATATTGTTCTTGTAACGCAAACATGTCAGATGTAGACTTTAGGGTAATTTAGCTTCCATATAGGTTGAACACCAAATCCCGTTTCGTTCCGTTCACTAGTTTCGATTAAGTTCTGCCATCAAGCAAGACAAATGTTGCACAATCATGTCAATCTTTTGCATTTAATACCAAAGTTGATGCATAAAATGAAAATCAAGAATATTCTTCTTTTTAAGAACAGTTTTGCATGGTATGAAATCGATCGACAGCGCAGCCGGACACACTGAATACAACTACTGATCATTGCCGGGCTGGTGTAATACCTAGCATGGCTAAATCACAAGAAACACTCGTACTCCACACAGAATTTTATGAGATGTATAGATATGTCGTTGTTATTGCTACGAGGTATTAATCGTTCCATATATGGTGTTGCTATAAATAGAAGCCTTTGCGATTAAAGCAATAGTGGCAATTATAAAAACGTAATTGTCCTCTTATCTCATGACAGCTGTCTAAGTTGTGCTTAAGATGCAATACTAAAGATAGAGGACTCAGATATAGTTTGCATATATTTCCAAGAAAATTTGACATTTCCATACATATATGTTTAAGGTTGTAAAGACTGACTATATTCCATGATTATAAAGTGAAAGCTTGAAGAACATAGCTTCACACGCGTGTATATATATAACGTTTAATTGTTTATTCAGTGGCGACTTTGATTTTAATAGTTGTTATTGTTTACATAAAACACAATGAAGCTTGCTGGCAAGGGGCGAACAGAAACATCCTAAGGGCACCAATCAACGCTAAATTCTAAAATAAGAACACTAAAATGGCGACGCAAACGTCCTCAAATCATTTTACTGTTTACATTTTGCCATTGTTTTAGCTACAAACCTTCGTTTCTGTTACAAGAATACTGGATTGAAAGAAAAATTTTCCTTTTTTTCCCAATGATAACGCTGTCTCATTTCATCTTAGAATGGTAATTAGTTTGTGGATAATGCGACTGCACCAAGTTGTATATTATGGTTTTTGTATTTTCTACATCTGTCTGAACTTTGTCCATTGAAGAAATGGTTGCGACCATCTTGACACTGAAGACCGGACGAAGCAAGATGGATGTAAATAAATGGAAAATACCTAGGGACACTTGCCATCTAGAGAATCGTTATTGTTAAGATCTTTGTGAACATTATTCTCAAGCCATTTTTTGACATCTTGAATGTTGTAAAAAGTTGGTCCAACACCCCCGATGTATCGAACTATCTTATCCTGGATGATAAATAGGCGAATAGGCGTCGCTGCAAATGCCTTGCTCGCGTTGTCATCGATGCTGTCCAACAGCAGCGGAGAGTTGAGCTTTCTTAAACTGAGGAGCAACTGCGCCGCCGAGCAACGTTCTTCTTGGGTCTTGTGTTGAGGAATCTCTGGCGTGTTCTGAAATCAAAGCCAATAAAAAACTAAGCCAACCTGACTGAGCCAGGAAAAGTGCCTGATATGCGCTGAAAGAGCATTCATAAAGGACATCTTTCATTAGCTAAAATCATTAACTACCTTAATCTAACCTTGCCCCGGAGCGAGATTAGCATTTTTGATAGACACTTGCTCGCAAAAGAAGTCCAACCTGACCGAAGATATAGTCCCTTTGTCTTTAGGATTTTAAAATACCCAGTAAATTGAAGATGTATTCGGTGATTTTTACATAGATTACATGAGGCGAAAAACTGACGTGATGTCGAACATAATAGTTATTTACCTTAAGTTTCCATTCATCTGTCGGGTGTGCTTCTTCTATGTAAACTGTTAAGAAGTCTGCAATGGGGCTGAACTCCTCGACGATCTCTCCAAATTGCTGCAGTCTTTCCATGAATACTGGACACGTGCAACTGCCGAAGTTAACGACTAGTGGACGGCTGCCGCGTGCCATATCGAGGAGGCGATGAGTCGTGTTTCCGTCAACGGAGGTGAGTAATGGGTTGGGGGTCTGTCTGTTTAAGTAAGCTTCTCTTTGTAGTTCTCGTAGCACTACTTTCTGATAAGTACTGTACATCTTCCAACCAAAAAGCCCCTTCCAGTAATCTTCTTTTTTCATGTCGATGGTGGAAAGTTTGCTAATCATAACTTCGATTAAGCTGTGAGCAAAGGGAAGGAAATACAAAAGTTTGAAAAGACCAAAAGCGATAAGAAGTAGGCACGATGCAGTATAATACGGAAGCAGGATCTTCAGCGATGTTGTCATAGTAGCACGGCTAGCTTTGAAGTTCAATATTTTCAGTTTTGATCAAACGTCTTGCTTTAGTTCGCAGCGAACACGGTTGATGTGCAGAGAATTATGAGCTCACGTTTTCGAACCGCGCTGCTTTTAAGTCATTCTTGGGACAACTGAAAAGAATTCATGCGATTTGTTTTGTATGCTTGTACCGATCAGTTTGACCTTTCGTGCAATGTGGATCGGCTCGCAGGATGGGTTCTTGAAGTGCCAAAGTATTGTGATGTCTTTTGAAACGATCAAGTGCTTGCTGAATACCTAGGCTAATTGTCATGCTCCCGTTCTGTTTATTTAGACTTCTTCTATTGCACCGCCAAGATGTCCGACTGCGTCTCTCTGCGTGTTGTAAACAGACCCTTTGAGAGTCATTGCCGACACTATGGTTGTTGAACAAGTTATGATGACCTTATCAATGCTTAATTCACCAAGATAACACGCAATTTCAACATCGTAGTTTCTCACATTTCCTTGTTTAATTTATCAACCAAAATCGACAAACAAACAAACATTCTTTGCTTTAGACGCTAACCACCATCTAATTATTATTTGTTCACTCATTCAATCATTCAACCACCATCTATTTATGATTCGTTCACTCATTCAATCAATTTCATTTTACGTTGCAGAAGGCCGCCTAAACAACACAATAATACTCCTCGAAAATCAAATTACCAGTTAATGAATCATTGTCTTTGACTGATTCAGCCTTTTAGCGATCTTTCAACTAGAAAATAAATTATTAAGACATTTTCTGCTGGCCGAAAAAAATTACTCGCGTGTCACGAACGTTCTGAAGCGTTGAATGAAAACCGTGCACTCACGCGATTGCTGCTCCTATCACGCCTAGCACCATTTAGCAATGTACCAAGGAACATTTCCGGTATTAAACGCTAAATCTCTAGATAATTCTTCAGCTGTGATTGGAGCCTTTGGTAAAATATGAAATAATAGCTTGATTAACATGTTACCGGAAATCACAGTCCATTTGGACACTGTTTGAATCAGTTGGCTGTTGCTTGTGCCATTTGTCATTTTGAATATCGTAGATTCAAAATGGTGTAAAATAAAAATATCGAACTAAATGATTTCGGTAAGTGTACGATGTCATACCGAATGGTTATAGGAATTGAAGTGATACCGTTAAAGACCACATGCTTGCCATGACAGCTGCCCATACTTCAGTCCTATGGGGAATGTAAACAAGAAAAAAGACCGATTTGGGACAGCACCAAATAAGGAAAGAAGACTGACATGGGCGAAGTATTTGAACTACTGCAATAAGCTGAATTATCGGCAAACAAAAATATCGATTTAGCTTGTAGACAATGTTGCATTTTGAGAAAGAATTGCATCTTCTGGTGGATTGACAACACGGTTCAAGGGCCTCAAGCCAACAATTTTTTATCTGCATACACTTTACATATATTTTTTCATCTGTTGAAATGAATGAGTGAAAAGATCCTTTGGCACGGGTTTAAAGTCAAACTGAAATATATATACACATTTCTTTCACAGGGGCAGGTGACATCAGGATGGAGTTAAATGTAATTAGTCTTAAGCCAATTAAGATGTAGTACTTATTTGACTCAGAGTACTTGATATTAAAGTGTTAAAAACCTGCCCCAATTACTTAAAGAATGACGCCAACCGGCCTGAAAACATTTATCCTTCGCTCTCGAAAATCATTTCCACTGGATGGATGGACATATGATAAGGGACTTCCAGCTATGATAAGCATTTCCAGTCCTTTGGCACTTCTTTTTAGCTGTCAGCAAGGACGCAAGAGTAAGTGAGAAGACCTTGACTTATCCATAAGTCTAGGCTGTCAATCTTCATGTCAACTTGTACTTAAGCGATGACAGGTTGAATGAATCCTTTTTGACCAAAGACGAATGCTAGTACATCATCTCAATTATTATCCACTTAAAACCAGCAACTTGAATCAAGAAATCCTGTAAAATACAGTTGGCTGTATAATTAATTGAATTATCACCAAACATGGTTTAAACTATATAGATTATTGTATTATGTTATATTGTTAAGGTCAACTGCTAATTTCTTTTTATTGATTCAAAACATACATATATATAATTTGAGGGGTTTTCCAGAACCTTCCTCAATAACTGTTTCAGTAATTTAATAAAAGTTTTTTTTCTCAACTGCAGCAGAAAGATCGTTCGTCAGTCTTCGTCATGATTTCTTACTTATTAAGGTTACAATCCGCTTCAAAGGCTTGGTTGTATAATTCATTATTAAAAGTAGACATCATCATCCCACTCAGCAGGTCTTCCAGCAAACGGCACGGTATATGCTTACACGCACGTACGACGAAACTACACGTTCATCAGATCATCACAGATTACCCTCATTCAAGTGCAATGTAAAACTCATACTAATCCAACTAAGTATCGTAAGCTTGTCATGTTATCGCTTAGAAATCAAAACAGTTTTCTACAAATTATCCTAATGCATGCATGTGTGCCTTGCACCATATATGGGTCATATGCCTTAGCCCTCTAGAACACTCCATTCCTGATTCCTAAAATGCTTCTCGTCAAAACACGGTTATCAAAATAAACTCCCACTCGAAAAGAATACGTTTTAAATATACTTTTGATATTTCTGCTTTGTTGTCCTTTCAATTCACAGTATTTAGCACTGATTTATTGTTTAGAATCTTTACCTGTTAAGATAAAAACATGCCCTTGTCAAGAGAAAAACAAAATTTGTTCTCTTGCCCTTGTATTAATGATGTCAAACAAATTTAAGAAATACTGACTCGAAATGACAATTAGGATAAAAGGGAGGTAAAAAGTGCAAAGGTAGATAAAATGTTTAATCTTTAAGGTAACTGAATAGAACCAGAAGAAAAAAACTCTTGAGTCTTTTCGTAGCTTTACCTGGACGCAAAATGTGTGTTTCTTCATCAGGCAAATCATTAGCTCGACTTAATGATAGTAGAAGTTTGCGGAAATTCCACCCAGACCCCACCGCGCATGCTCAATAAACCTCGGAATTATAAAAAGGCCGGAGTCAAGGTAGGTGGTTTGGTAGTTGTGTAGGTGTGTAGGT